AGTTTGATCAAAGAACTTAGAGGTGTTTTAAAACCAGCCTGGAGTGTAAAGATTGGAAAGTCCCATGGCCTCACTTGTGTGTATGAAGTGTAAATCTGGTTTTGTTTTGTTGTTTTGGATTCTTTTGGGTTTTTGTTTTGTTTTGAAAATCAAGATAGTGATCACTCTGAAAGATTGAAGCCAAGAATTTGTAACTATGATATTTACTGTAAGCTGTAGAACATTCAATAACTATTAAAAAAGTTTCCACAAAAAAAGAAAAAAAAAGTCCTAGGTGATCAGACTGAGTGGTTCTTGGGAGAGGGGCTACAGAAGGCTCAGGAGACCACGTCCAGAGCCAACGAGTCCCTAGGCGCCTGCCCAGTTGGTTCTAAACTTGTTTTCACCCATCAAGAGAAACCCATGGCACATCTCAGATACAGCAGGGAGATATGAAGTGAAGTTTGAGTGGCCTGAACTGAGTTTGTGGGATGCAGGAACCTAGTGAGGTCATTCATGGGCAGAGGTGACACTGTCTTCTGTGTGACTGGTACTCAATACATACAACACTGTGTGGGGAGTTGGGGGTGGGGCTGCCCTGTTAGCCCCATCTCCTAGAGGCAAAGCCCGAGCTTTCTTAAAGGGTAAATGTACTATAGATGGAAACCAAAGGAGAAGGGTATGGTGGTTTGTAGTTAGAGGAAAAGTGGGTTTATGTGACGTCCATCCATACAGACATCAAGTGCTGTTAGTTTTAGCTTCTCTATCTCTTGACTGTCCCCTGGGTCATCGTGTCCATCATTCCGTCACTCCCTTCCAGGGCCCACCTACAGGTTTTGCTCTGCCAGGCCTCCAAATATTCAACTACCTCAAGTGGGGTGAAAACAGGCCTAGGGAGGCTGGGACTGGGCTTTTACTACTAAACCCAAACCTCAGTTGATTCCAACTCCTAATGACCCCACGAGTTGCAGAGTAGAACTGCTCTGGCAGGCTTTCAAGCCTGTGATTGCCATTCTTCTGAGGCGTCTCTGTGTGAATTCAAACCACCACACATTTAATTGGTAGTCTAGTGCTTAACCAGCTCACAGTATACCTGTAATTAAAACTGGACTTGCCACCACACCTCCCCTTGTGCTGCTGCTACGCTTCCACAGGCTTCCTCCAGCCCTTGACCTGACTCCTCCCTCAGAAAGCAATGTTGGAGTGGGGGGATGAGAGGGCAGCTTGGGAGCAGACAGGGGGTAAGGACTGAGGAGTCTCACTCAGAACTCTCCCTGCCTCCTGCTCCTTCACCTGCTGGCTTAAGAGCAGGCAGGCCTGGGAGGGTGAAAGCCAGGAGGGCTTCCAGAGGGAGGTGAAGGTAGAGGCCTTGAAGGCTAGCATCACAGTACACATTCTGCCTGATCCCTCAGCTCTTCATCTCACTCTTGGGAACTGGCTTCACCAACCCCAGCCTTCCACACAGAAAATTGGGGTGGGTGTGATCTGAAGGGGGGCGTAGCACTGGGATGAAGGTGTCCTTTACCTGGAAGTCTTCACTGTGGTTGGCATCTGTCTGTGGTGAAGCAGGTGGGTGAGAGGGCACCTGGAGACCACAGTCCAGGCTTCCCCTGGGCAAGTAGCTGATAGCAAGAGGGCAGGGTCTCCCACCCCATTCATCAGGTACCATCTCATCCCCCCTCTCCATGCCAGAGTGGGTGGTGTATCATCCCAGTTGCACAGAGGGATACCAAGTAGACCCTGCTGACCCAAGGGAGCATTTCCTTGGGTGCACTGGCCACACCAACTTGTTCCTTACAAATGGATTCTCTTCTAGACTTTGGCAATCTTTGGTGCTTCAGAAAATTCTTCCTGGTGTCTAACCCACACCCCACCTTCTATCCCCTTCCTGCCCCCTCGAGAAGCTACTGAGTGGAGCCTGTGCCCCAGGCACCTTGAGAGGTCACATCTCAAAGCCCAGCGTCCATCCAGGGTGGACCTTCACTTTGACTTCTTTAAAGAAGCCAGGCCCTAGTCTGAGTCACCATAGCCCCTTACTGGACAGACCTAAGACGCGCCACGGTCTGTCTGTTGTTAGACCTCGCCAGGTTCCTTCAAGTCTCATTTTCTAACTAGTTCTTCAACCTGCCTTCCATTGGCATTTAAGTGTGTCCCCTTCTTCCATCTTTAAAAGCATACCAAACAACAAGTGCCGAGTTAGAGTGTAAGTGATATTCTGATGAAAGAACCCTATCCTAGATCATCTTTTGGTGGAAAATGCAATTCAAAATGATTTTTTTTTTTTTTTTTTAAATTTTAAACTAACCATGTAAAGCCTCACCAGGCATGCCTGCCATTTCCTCTCCACCCTCTCCCTTGATCCACTGGGACCTGGACCTGCCCTTACTACTACCTGTTGGTGACTCCCACTCAAGTCTCTGTGTAGATTAACTCAAGGAAGGCTTCAGTTCTGACTGCCCCCCAGCACCTGGCCTTGTGGTCTAGCCCACACACTTAGCCTTCCCTGGTGTCCGATTGTCTTCGCACTTCGTTGGCAGTGCTGACTCTGCCATGCTGGGGAGGTCTTCCCTGGGCCTTAGCCTGGGACCTGCCCTCCACTCCCTAGCCCAGTCCTGGCACAAATGTCCACAGGAATGCTTCTAGATAGACTTGGTACTAGATCTGCCTCTTGAGAGCTTCAGGCTTTCACAGCCAGATACACAGTGCTCTGTCACAACTCAGGACTACCCCTGGATTATTACTGTTTCCCCACCCAGTTGGCCCTAAGCCTTTGAACTATACTAACTCCAAACCAAGTCCTAGTACTTCTCCAGTCCATCTGTTTATTCCCATCACACCCATATTGCCCAGCCGCCATCGTCTGTCTAGATGGCTACAACAGCTTCAAGGTACCCCTGCTCCTGTTGCTTCTCTGCCAGTTCTCCATATTGTAGCCAAGAAGGAGTTGTGTGATGTTTTCCCCTCTCTAAGTTTTTAACAGCTCCTTGGCGCCCTTGGTTTAAGATCAGTGGCTTCTCATAGCCCTGCCCTCAGCAGCTCCCGTCTGGGCCTCCATCACACTTTTTCCAAAGTCTCCAGGTCTTCATGTTTCTGTTGGTCCATGGCTTTCCCATGTGCTGGTCCCTCTACTTGGAACACATTCCCGCATCCACACTCTCAAGCCCCCAAGCATCTTCCAGACTACATGACTCTCACTTCCTCCAGAGCTGTACTATCCAATATGGCAGCCACTAGCCACATGTGGCTTTGAGCACTTGAAATATGTTAGTTCATATTCAGATGTGCATTAAGTATAAAATATACACCAGATTTCAAAGGCATAGCACACACACGAATGTAAAAGCTGATTATTTTAAAGTTTTATGCTCAAGTGAAAATATTTTAGATTGATCATTGAGTCAAACAAAATGTTACTAATGTTATTAAAATTAATTTCACCCATTTCTTTTTGGCATCCCTGGTTGGTGCAATCAATTCATGCTTATTCTGAGTCCACCCAAAAGCAAGGCCTAGAGAGAAGTCAGCCATTTAAAGCCTCAAAGAATATAGTCCTCCTGTTTAAAACCTCATAGAATACAGTCCTCCTCTGATACCAAGGAGGTTGCCATGAATCAGCATCCACTCAGCAGCCACTGGTTTATTGGTCTGTCTTTTTACTTTGTAAAATTCTATTCAGAAATTTTCAATGGTATATGTGGTTCACACTTTGTGGGCAGCACTGCCTCAGAGCTTCCATGAGACCCCACTGAGGCTGGAGACCTCCTCCAGAACCCCTGCTGACCGGTTGCTGGGCCCCCACCTGCCGGGAAGCAGGAATCACAAGGAAGGGATGGACGCATGGTCTGACTAACACATGGTCCCCAACCCGGTGCAGGACTTGAGAGCCATTTGCTGAAGGGACGACCTGGGGTGGCATAGGGAAAAGAAGTTCCTCACGACACCACGTTCCCACCTTTTATTATTCAATAAATTGATGGGGATGCGAGGACAGGACAAAAGCAAAGTTTTAATAAATAAGAGAAATGGGGTCATGGCAGCGGGCCCGCGCCTGCACGGCACCTCATAAATAACCAGTTTGCTGAGCACACAGTATGGGGACGGGTGCTGAACTAGGGCTAGCCAGAGCTGGAGGACAGACGCACCAACACCATAGGAACCACTGAAGCCAGAGGTGCTGCTCCAGCCCTGGCACCCGGTCCCACTCCGCCCCCCAAGGATCCTGAGATCTTGGGGTCAGAGGCAGCTGGGCAGGTTAGGGCTCCTGCACCCCAGCCCTGCCCAAGTCAAGTCTGTTTGCCATTTTTGTTAAAAACTGAGGAGGAGGCAGGCACATGCATTAAGCCCCCTCTGTAGACAGAGCCATGGATGGAACAGCCCCTGGGGGTCTTGAAGGCAGAAGCCCTGGCAGCAGCAAAAACGGCCAGATGAAGCTACTAATGTGGGTGGGGCAGAGACTCAAGCTCATCCTCCACAATGGACCCAGCCCAGAACCAACAAGGAGCTGGAGAGGCCCTGGGCACTGAGATGTCCTTCGAGCTTCACAGTCAGACACTTGTCCATGATTGGAACCCAGGAACTCAGCCCCCCAGCCAAGGGCTGGATGGTGCCCCTTACCTCTCCAAGACTTGTGGGAAGAGGCACATCTACTCCCTGGCCCTGTATAGAAGTGGGAGGGCTGGGAGCCGGGGAGAGGGTCCCTCCCTTCCCGGAAGTTAGACTCTGTTGATGGAATGAATCCTGCAGGCGCCTAGGATCTGATCAGGGCAAGGGTCGGGGCATTCTGCAGGCGGGGAATGGGCAGCAGGGGCCTGGAGTGGGCTCTCACTACTTCTGCACAGTGCCTGCCAGCTGGCCTGCCCCACATTGGGGGAATGGCCCCACCTCCAGGCCTTGGCCACTGCTGTTCTGTCTGCTGGGCCATTGCTTCTCGGTCCTCTGGGGCCCAGCTGCGGCTCTCCCTCCAGGAAACCACTGGAACCTCCTAGGGCAGAGCTGCAGTGTCCTCAGACAAGACAAGCCCTTCAGATGACCAAGTTGCTCTCACTTAGCCTGACGATGTAGCGGTTCTCCTGGGGTACAGAGGCGAAGGTCAGAGCTGAATCAGAGGCCTTCTGGGTTCCAGGAAAGTGGTCCCTGACACTGTGCTCTGTACTCCCAACACCTGCACTATCTTTGGTCAGGTTGGCCCACATGCCAAGACACGCTCATCTCTTGCCCTCACCTCAGGCTTGTTTTCCGTTGGGGGCTTTAGCCATTTAGTGTGGCTTGTGCTACTGCCCAGGAGTGAGCGCTGCTCGGGGGGGAGGCCAGGCTGTGAGGAGACAGGGAAATTGCCCCCTGAAGGCCCTGCCTCTGTGATGGTCTTCACTTCAGATGCTACTGAACTTGTTCGCTGCTCAGGAATTCGAGCCACACGGAACCTGTGAGAAGGGGTGCAGGTCTCCTTTAGAGGTGGGGAATGTGAGGTGCAGGGAAGGCAGCACCTACCCAGAGTCACACAGCAAACTCATGGATCAATCCCCTGTACTTGTCAGCATCTGAGCCCTTCCCAGCAGCTTTCCACCTGCAGATGAGGGGTTCATTCTGCTGTCTGCACCCAGCCCCTGAGCCCCCACATCTAGCCTTCAGGTGGACCATCTCACTGGTTCTCAGGGCTCCACAAGCTCCTTCATGGCCCTGGCCGCTTTGGGGGATGCAACGGCTCCATAGGAGACAGTATGGCTAGGAGGTCTGTCTCTCAGGCCATTCCCACTGCTCAGAGCGGCACACTGAGGCCCAGGAAAAGGGTCCCCGGGGATCCACAAGGAGCAGGGTGTTCAGAGCTTGACCCTGCCTCACCTGCCCACAGATAAGATGGTGATCTCCCCCTGGCGTCCAGCCTTGGGGACTCTGGCTGAGCTGGGCAGGAAGCTGGGGGCAGGGGTGGTGGCTGCTGCAGCCTCAGGGGACAGCAGCACTTCGGGCCACTTCTTCTGGCTACATCGGGAGCAGCAGGGACCAGACACTGAGGCCAGGCCCTGCACGGTGTGGAGGTGGTGGCGATGTGGGCATACATGTGGTATGTTGGCAGGGCCTGGCATCGGCCTGCCAAAAAACAAACCACAAAAACGGAAGCAGTCACTAGACAGGGCCAGGAGACCCCAGGAGGTGGAGGAGAGGGATAAGAGTGACAGGAAAGAGGAAATACCCAGGTGCTCAACTGTGGGTTTAGGCCCCCTCCGGCCCTACCCCTCTTGGCTGCTCACCTGGGCACAGGCCTGTGGCTCGTTTGTACCAGCTGTTTGCTGTGATACTCTTTCAGCAGCTCTTCCAGGGCCGCCGCATTCTCTGTGGGCAGCTGCAGTCAGAACTCACCTCTGGGCCATGAGGGGCGCTACTCCCTAGCCCAGTGGACACCTCCCCTACCTGCTACTGGCCACCCGCAACCTTCTCCTCAACCCTCACCAGGAGGAAGAGGGGCCCATCCTGTTAGCCAGTGGCCAGGAGAGCAGGGCTGGCCTGAGGAGGCAGCTCAGATGAAAGTGGCAAAGCAGAGCTAACTGCCCCTCCCAACCCTGCCCCCCACCCCACCCCCAGGCTGCCTCCCAGGCACTGGGGCAGGCCAGACCATCCCTTACCTTTCTTCTCAGTGATCAGACGCACCAGGACCCCGATGGTGTCTTCATTGGCATCCTCAGCCCGGTAGGCAGGGTTGATCCCTGGGGAAGAAAAGTACAAGGACCATAGGATCCTGGGGTGTCTGAGAGGGACAATGGGCTCGGGAGCTATGCCATGAACTGCCAGCAGAGGGCGCCCACACCTTCTAAGACTTACAGCAGCCAGGCCCCCTGTAGGTAGCTGTGTTTAGGAGGCAAAGGTCCTCAAGCCATGCGAATGTGGGAGTCTAAGCCTTAACCTCAGCTCAGAGAAGCCCACTATCACTTTTATTACTCAGCATTGCTGCTTCCTGCACCCAATAACCCTAGATACTTAGAGGTTTAAGGGACCATTGGAACTCCTGGATCCCTGCAGTGTCTAGTGGACCTTCAAGCCCCCTTCTGGGCCTGTCTTGTGCCTCCTCAGCCTCAGGGAGCTGTGGGCTGCCTCCCTGCCCAGAACCCCGAACAGTTCCAGTGCACACAGCTATTCCAGGCCTCCTGCCTCCCTGCATCCCCTTGTCTATGGGTCTATTTAGCTGAGGACCCTTGGTCAGCTTTGGGACCAAATCTCAAGGGTGTGAGGATGGGCCCTCTGGGACTGGACCTGGGGCCAGCAGCAAACAGAGCTCCCAGGACTTACACCCAGACCACAGCTAGCAGCTAAGGGAGTCACTAGGTTAGGAAAACCAGTATCAAGTTTAAGTCTCCATCTTTCCATCTGCCAGCCTAGAGTTCCCCCACTGCAGATGTCAGTGTCAGGTGCTGAGGGGCTCATGCCAGTCCCTAGGCAGTCTCAGGCACTGGCATGGGAGACATTTCAGTCTTGACTCCATCACAGGCTCCTGTGGGTCCAGGACAATGTGTATAGGGGCTTCAAAAAGTTTGTGGGAAAATGGAATGAAAAGATCACGGAATTTTTCCACAAACTTTTAAAAGTCCCTTTTGTGCACACGGGGAGAGGGCAGTAGGTCCTAGGGGTGGGAGGGAGGAGTGTGTCTCTCCCTCTGGTTCTGGGACTTGTAACTCAAACCATAGCTGGGAGCTGAAATTCAAGCCCCTCACAATGCCCACCCTGGACAGCTGTCTGCGTCAGACCTCCAGAAGCCAGGATTCCTCTAGTGCCAGGCCAGAGGTCAGAGGTCACACTGAGTACCAAGAAAGCAGTTGACTCTTGAGCCAAGTATACAACCGGAGCCCCCAGGAGTCCAGAACCCTGCAGGCGGGCTTGACCTCCCCTAGGGTAGAAATCCACTGAAGTCACCTGCCTCTGCACCTCGCACCCCTATCCCCCCACACACTTCAGGTCAGCTGGTCTTTCCATCCACTTTATGCTTTACAACTGTTACCCCTGTGACCCCAGGAAGCCCTCCCAATTCGCCCCCTCTGACAGAGGCCGAGCTGGGGCTGGGCCTCACCGCTGCCTCCAGCTCCGGGGCCAGGCCCGATCTCCTTGTGGGCCGTACAGTGGTAACCCTTCCTCTTGAGCAGGTTACACACCAAGATGCCCAGCAGTCCCATGAGGCAGAAGATAGGTACAATGGCGATCACCGCGTACTGTGCGGCTGTCTCCTCGGTGCTGCCAGCCCGCGTGCTGTTCCCAGGCTGCTGGCTCTCCCCGCTACCACTGGCACCTCCTGCCAGCTCCACGCCACGTCGGACCCTGCGCCCCAACACTGAGCACCACAAGGATGGAGACAAGGAAAGACGGCTGTCCACAGCAGCCCACTCCCATCACAGGCGTAGCCCCCTCCTTTCGGCCATCTGGCCCATCTTGGCTCTTACCGTAGCCTCTTTTGGATATCCAGACCTTTGGCCCCTTGTCCCCCCATCCTTCTGGGACAGAGGGTACACATGGCACATGTGAGGGTCATCCATGGATTGGTGGCCTCACAAGGTTACTGACTGAATGGGTGACATAAGGTATCAATATATGTGGGGGTGTGTGCTTGTACATACGTACATGAGCACATATGTGGGGGTGTGCACGTGCATACAGATGTGAGCACATATGTGGGGGGTGTGCTCATATGTACACGAGTACACGTGGGAGTGTGTATCCATGTGTATGTGAGCATATGTATGGGTGTGTGTTCATACGTACATGGGCACATGTGCGGGTGTATTCATGTGTGCAAGCACATAGGCAGGAGTGCAAATTCATACATGAGCACATATGTGGGAGTGTGTGCATGTACATACATGTGTAAGCATATATGTGGTGATGCATGCTCACTGTACATGAGCACATATGTGGGGTGTGCGTGTGCATACAGATGCAAACACACATGTGGGGGTGTTCATATGTACATGAACACATGTGGGTGTTTGTGTGCGACCACATAAGTGGGAGTGCGTGTGCTCATACATATGTGAGCACATATGTGGAAGTGTGTGCATACATATGTGAGCATGTATGTGGGCGTGCATGTTCATGTGTACATGGGTGCATGTGTGAGGGTGCATTTCATATGTACTGAGTACACATGTGGGTGTGTTCATAATATGTGGGCACATATATGGGAGCGTGTGTATACCTACGTGAGCACATATGTGTGTGGTACATGTTCATGTGTACGTGAGCACACGTGAGTGTTCATATGCATGTGAGCGCATATGTGTGTGTTCATACACACATGAGCACATATGTGGGAGTGTGTGTGTGCATACCTATGTGCTGTGCAGGTTCAGCTGTGGCTGCCACTCAGATACAAGCAGCCATGTCCCACTAGCACTCTCTGGCTGTATCCCTTTCCCCTCTCCCTAGATGATCACTGCAGGGTCCCCCCATCCCGCCCGCCCGCCCCACACCAGCCTTAGCCCCAAACTTCCTCTCACCACGACAGCTGAGAGTACCCAGAGGTGCCAAGGAGCAGGGGTGACATGGAACATGGGGGTTTCCCTCAGGGCTGAACCACCTGCAGGGAAGAAAACTGTTACTGGCTCCTCCAGATCTCGCCTTTAGACAGGCTACCCAGTACCCTTCTTGGTATTGACCCGTCCCAGTTCACGGGTGGGAGACAGTGTGGCCTCCTCTTGGGGGGGTTAGCCTCACACCCCATCTGTGGCTCACCCAGGCTGGCAGCCTCCACACAGTGCATCTCGAGTCGCCGAGCCCGCCTGGGCCTCCAGCCTCCCTTGGGGGCTGCAGCAGGTGTGGGGTTGGCATGGGCTGGGGCCCCATGAGGCTGAGAAGGTACCTGGGGGGCAGGACCTGCACAATGCAGCACCCTGCCTCAGGTCCTGTGGGAGGGAAAGGGTGAGAACAAAGCCAGGAGCTGGGACTGAGGTCGCTGGGGAGAGCCAGACCTGGGGATCCTCTCTGTGTCTCCACCAGCCTTCCCAGGACTAGGCGATGGGTGGGGCAGCGCTCACCAGGCTGGGCTCCTCCCCAGGCGGGCACTGCCAAGGAAGCGTCAATGCTGGAGTGGCTGGGAGCCAGGGCAGCAGCTGGAAGAACAGCAGGCAGGAGGAGTGTGTTGAGGGTGAGGCAGAAGGCACTGGGGTGTGGTGTCTCTGGGGTCATCCATTCACAACTTATTTTCCTGAGGCTCATACCACACCATCAATGACCACACAGGGCCATACCATCCAGGCTCCACAGACACTCTTCTAACCCCAATGCTTCCTGCATCAACATCCACATAGGCAAGGACAGAACCACATCTGCTTTTAGAGAGTTCTGGAAGGCCCCAGACAGGGTTGGACCAGGATCTCAAGCTCTGGTTCTCTGAGTCACAACCATTCCAGCTTCCGAATTCCTCTCTCAGATCCTGCCCCTTCACAGCTGGACAGGCCATGAACTGGCTTCTGACAGGGTTACTATGAGTTGGAACCCACTCCACGGCACATCACCACCACCACCACCACTAATCCTCTCCAGTCTGCAGCTTATTGGGGTCCTTATTCTCCTCCAGGACTCCCCACTGTGCAAGGCCACCCAGCCTACACCCCTGTACCCAAACAGGGCAGGATACACCCCACCCAGCCCATTGGGGGCAGGGGGGAGGGAGCTACTGCTGTCTCTCATACTCAGATGTGGGTGGTCTTCCTGAATCCCTCCCTGCTGTGGGGAGACCCCATCCTCTGGTTTTGCTGGTGCTAGCTGGGTGCGGGGACCTCAGAGCAGTGTCAGCCACTCTCGAGGTGAAGGGAATATTACACAACAGGCGCTGGGACCTCCTCTGGCCCCAGGTCTGTCCTGCTGCCCTCTAGAGGTCATGCCTGAGGCCATGTCTTGCCCTCTCTGGGCTCCCAGCATCATAGCAGGCCAGACTCTAAGGTATCTCCTGAGATTGTAGCCCAGAGTCCCATGAGGCTCTGGGCAGCTGGCCAGTCTCTGATTCTGGGATCTGGACTCTGGGGTCCCAGCATCTGAGGTGCTAAGGTTCTCAGGCTCCAAATCCCAAGCCTCTTTTGCCCAATTTCTTCTTCCCCTTGGCCCACCCTCCCTGAGGATCTGTTCCCACGCCCAGCTGGCATCCTTGGCCTCAGCTAGGTCAGCCTGGCTACAATTGCCAGCAAGTCCTCCTGCCGTCTCTTTCCTCCCTGAAAGGAAGAGCTGACTACTCAGCCCCACCCCACCCTGGCGTTCCTCCTTGGGGGACTGTAGGGTAAGGGTTAGGATTGGGCTCCTCAGCTGACCGCCCCCCACCCCCCCATTCGCCTTCTGTTCCATCCCCAGCTCACCACAAGGAGGCAGGACAGGGACCAGCGCAGCAGGCTCAGCTTCATCCTCAGGGCAAGAACGGGGCACCAGCCTGGAGTGGATGGAGGGCGGCTTAGAGGGGGCAGGCTGCAGCTCTGGTCCTCCCAGCATGGTACAAGGTGTTGCAGAGGCAGGCTGACCACTGGGCAGCCCAGCCTAGACCACCTGTTGAAGCCTGAGCAGAAGTGGGGGGCTCTGGGGGCCAAGGAGGAGAGGCAGAGGCTCTGCCAGATTTGGAAGGCTTCCTGGGGGAGGAAGGGCTTCTTCCTCTTTCATAAACAGCCAGTCACCCTGGACCATGGCCAGGAGGGCCTGTGAGGGAGGAAGCCTGAGGCGGCCCTTGGGGAAGAGGGAGACTGAGGAGGCTGGCACCCTCTCCCCCAGTTTCTCCACCCTCATCTCCAACTCTTCAGGCTCCTGCTCCCCAAAACGGCTCACAGGGTCCCAAGCATGCCGGCGGCTCACTCATACTCTATCCTCACTCTTGCCATTTCTGCTCTTCCCAAGGAAGATCGTTTCCCTCACCATTCAAATCCCACACACCACACAGGCCTCTTTTTCCAGAAGTTCTCTCAGACCTCCCCTTTCCCACCAAAGCTGGGTCAAGGCCTTCTCTGGCTCTCAGAGCTCCTGTGGGTGCCCCACCCCATCACATTCCACATGGCCACACCTGGCTGAGCCCCCATGGAGGGCTGGGCCGTATGTGACTACATCTCGGCCCAGTGCCAGGCAAGGGCTGGGGAGGCCATGGCAGCCAGTACTCAGCCTCTAGTCACTTCGGGAGCACCTACTGTGTGCCACTCACGACCCCCAGCACCAGGACAACAGGTATGAAGGGACAGATGAGGGCTCACATTCCAGACAATGATTCTCTGCCAAGGAGCCCTGGTGGCAAAGTAGGTCAAGTGTTGGTCTGACAACCTAAAGGTTGGTGGGTCAAATCCACCAGCTGCTCAAGAGAAAGAAAAAGCTATTTACTCCTGTAAGGATTTATTGCTGTTCGTTAGGTTCTGACTCATAGCGACCCATTGCACAAAAGAATAAAACCCATCACCATGTTTGAGTCCACTGCTGCTGCCATTGTGCCAATCCATTTCTTTAGGGGTCTTCTTCTTTTTCACTGATCCTCCATTTTACCAAACATGATAGCCTCTCCGGGGACTGGTCCCTTCTGATGACATGTCCAATGTATGAGAGATGAAGTCTCCTCTAAGGAGCATTCTGGCTACACTTCTTCCAACACAAATTTGTTTGTTGTTCTGGCAGTCCATGGTACTTTTAATATTCTCCTCCAACACCATAACTCAAATGTATTAATTCTTCTACGGTTCTCCTTATTCATTGTCCAACTTTCACATACATATGAGGTGATTGAAAATACCATGGCTTGGGTCAGGAGCACCTTGGTCCTCAAAATGACATCTTTACTCTTTAACACTTTAAAGAGGTTTTGTGCAGCAGATTTGCCTAATGCAATAACTTCGCTTGATTTCTAGACTGTTGCTTTCATGAGTGTTGACTATGGATTCAAGCAAAATGAAGTCTTTAACAATTTCAATCTTTTCTCCATTTACCACGATGTTATTCATCAGTCCAGTTATGAGGATTTTTGCTTTCTTTACATTGAAGTGCAACCCATACTGAAGGCTATAATCTTTCATCTTCATCAGTCAGTATTTTAAGTCTTCTTTGATTATAGCAAGCAAGGTTATATCATCTGTCTATCTTTCTGGTAATCTCTGCTTTCAGCATCTGGCATCAGCAATGGTATCCCTCATTCCATGTCCTCTTCTGAATCTGACTTGAATTTCTAGCAATTCCCTGTCGACTTACTGTTACAATCAGTTTTGAATTATCTTTAGCAAAATTTGACTTGCATATGACATTAATGATATTGTTTGATGATTTCCAAAGTCCACTGGATCACCTCTCTTTGGAATAAGCACAAATATGGATCCCTTCCGATTGGTTGGCCAGGCAGCTGTCAGTCAAATGTCTTGGCAAAGATGCGTGAGCACCTCCAATGCTGCATCAGTTTGTTGAAAGATTTCAGGTTGCATTCTGTCAATTCCCTGAGCCTTGTTTTTTACCAATGTCTTTAGTGCCACTTGGACTCTTCCTTCAGTACCATTGGTTCTTGATCATATGTTACCTCTTGAAATGGTTGAACATCGACCACTTTGTTTTGGTACAGTGACTCTTTGTATTCCTTCCATGTTCTTTTGATGCTTCTTACATCGGTCAATATTTTGCCCATAGAATTCCTTCAACATTGCAAGTCGAGGCTTGAATTTTTTCTTCAGTACTTTCACCTTCAGAAATGTTGAGAGTATTCTTCCCTTTTGGTTTTCTAACTCCAGGTCTTTGCACATTTCATTATAATACTTGACTTTGTCTTCTCTAACTGCCTTTTGAAATTTTCTGTTCAGCCTCAGAAATCCTATGGAGCAGTTCTACCCTCTTATAGGGTTGCTGTAAGTTAGAACTGACTCTATAGCAGTGGTGGATTGGGCCACCGGCCAGAAAGTAGACAGCACCAGAAAAAACAAACCAGTCTGGTGAGAGCACATAGAGATGAGGGATGGGAGAAATCTCAGTGGAGGCTCCGAAGCCCACTGGCCTCAGGCAAGACCCACTGTCTGAGACCTTTCCTTCTGAGATAATTCACTAGCCTGTCTTTGGAGCCAGTGGACAAGGCTGAAACAGCAGGAAGAGGATCTAGAATAAACAATGAAGAGAACTGTGGTAAACAAGGAATTCCAGTATGTATTTGAAAAAGGCCTGGCTTTGGGGTCAGGTGTATGAGGGAAGCTGCATTTGTCCTGCATCAGCAACAGCCATGCAGCCTCTGAGCCCCGAGGGGCAGCGTCCCTGTTTCCTGTGCCTTGGAACAGGAAACAGGAAATGAGCCAGGGCTCTACTGCAGGTTGGGGAGACCTGCCTGGAGTCCACATAGCCTGATGCCAAGCCTGGTATGGCAGCCGGGTCCAAAGTAGATCCCAGATCACATGGGGGCCCCTTGCCTGTGGGCGGCTGGGCATCCCGGCTGGAAAAGGAGCTGAGGAAACTGATCTGCCCAAACTGGCGGCCTGGCCCTGCACAGACCTTTCCAGGCCAGGGGTTTGAGTTACGTCTCGGGGGAGGGGTGGCGGTCACATCATCCTGGGGACTCTCCAGGTCAATGGCAGTGGTTCTGGGCCTCCAGCCAGCTCAGGGGAAAACCAGAGGCAGGAAAAGGCCAGCCCCAGAGCAGGGTGAAGGCCACCAGCAGTCAGCACCCAGCAAATGGCATCCTCTGACTCACCCTCCTCCTTGTCCCGTCTCAAATCTGGTCTTCCTTTCCAGTTTCTACCTCAAAGTGGCCCAGGTCTACCTTTCCCCCAAGTCCATCAACCCTTGATCTGTTCTCCAAGGGACCCAACCCACACAAATTGGGGTTGGGCACAGTGGTGTGTGATGGTGCGTGTGTGGCTGGGTGTGAGTGAGGGGCCAAACAAACACAGAGAGGCCCCATCCCATATGTAGTGACCTGAGCCTGCAGGGGGTGCTGTGCTCTGCTCTCTCCAGATGGAGGAGACTTCCAGGAGGAAAATGGGGCCCCAAGGCCCAGACACTGGCTGCCTAGTGCCCTGCCGCCTTCTAATTATGAGCCTCTAATTACCCCAAACCAGCACTTACTCCGTCTGGCTGCCTCAGTCAGTTTTCAGCTGGCACCCCGGCCCTGACTCGGCCCAGACAGAGCCCGGATGAACCGGCCTGGCTGCCCTGAGGTTTGCACCTGTGTGCACACTTGCTACACCGACCCCCTCCTTGAATGCACCCCTTCCCCCATTAAACCTGTGGCATCTGATTCCTTAGCCCAGGAAACCAATTCCTTTAGAAGCCCCTTGGCTTCCGTGGGCAGCTATGAAGGCCCCATTACCACCCCTCTGCCTGGTCCTAAAGATTGAGCAGTCAGTGACCTTTCCCCCAAGTGTTGCTGAGGATGCCCTGGAAGAGGCGCTGGGAAGGGCGGGAAGGGCTGGAAGATGGTGGAAAGGCCATGACCCCATTAGCGTCTTCTGACACCCCACCCCACTGCCAGCCACTCCTTATGGGACCAGAACCCACCCTTTTATCTGACTGGGTCTCAGTTTCCTCATCTGCAAAATGGGGATGCTTCTCTCTCATGGCCAGCCTGTCACAAGGCTCAGATGAAGTAACGAGCCCAAAGTAGCTCGTGTGCTTCCTTCCCCCCCACCCCCGACTTTTTTTGCTTTGCACCTCTTGTCCTGGTGTGTAATTAAGTATTTATTTGCTTACTTGTTTATTGCTTACCCTACACCAGACAGTAACATAGGCAAGGATGTCTGTTTATCCACCACAAAACCCCATACCCAGTCTAGTGTCTAGGGCCCAACCCAGGAGCCCAAAGAGTAGCCTCGTTGAGGTAAGGAGAGGGTTTCCTCAGACTCGTCACCCCCCCACCCCGAACTCTTGAAAAAAAATACCAACACAATTAGAATGAGAAATTCCCTGGAAAAAAGCCAACTAGCAAAGTCACCATCCTGAACCCCAAAGAGACGTGAAAGCTCCTGAGATGATAGGATCCCCAGGGAGGTGTTGCCCGGGCCCCTCAGAGAAAGAGGAAGTTCGCCTGCCCAGGCACCGGCAACTTCCTCTTTCCCAGAACTGAAGCTCAGGCCACCCAGGTCCCAGCCACATCTCCTTTCCCCAGCCTGGGTGCTCCACTCCTCCCATACAATCCCCTGTCCTGGCCCCACGGCTCTCTTGAAGTCTTCCATTGTCAGCTCTACTGAACCCCAAATCCTGAATATCATCCCACCTTGCTCCCCCTGTCTCCCGTTCAGCCCCACTGTGCAGCCGAGGTGCCTGACACAAAGGTCTGACCATGGCCCAATCTGTCACCCTGAGATGATGGCCTGAGGCCACTTGCCTCTCACCCCAGCACTCACCCTGAAGCCCCTCCCATCACCTGCCCAACACCTCCTCTTCCTTCAGCTCTAAGTCACTTCCTCCTGGAAGC